TTAGTGCTCATCTATTTTCATGCTCACATCTAACTCCAGCACTTTAGTGCTCATCTATTTTCAGCACACTAGTGCTCACATCTAACTCCAGCACTTTAGTGCTCATCTATTTTCAGCACACTAGTGCTCACATCCTAACTTTGGCACATTAATGCAAACATCCAATCTCAGCACAGTAGTGCTCGCATGATTGTTCTTCTTCACAATCATTAGTGAAGGAAAACATACGAAGCAATGGGTAACAGAATCCCTGATAAGAAAGCGGTGTTGACCACCTCTGGAAGACATTCTATACAGGTAAGTTACTGAAGAAAATCACGAAAATACTGAGAAAGAGAAAGTCGTATACAGAAGATCTGAGGTTATCATGGCGATGCAGATGTCCACATCTGTCACCCTGGTTGTAGATGACAACGTTTCAAAGGGATATACTGTCTTCATCTTCAGGACTGAAGACAACTGGTATCTACCTACAAGGCCTTTGTAAGTTTTTCGTCTGTCCGTCACATCTAATAGCGTCGGGGACTTCTGTCAATATTATCAGGTCATTATTAATTGCCTCTTGTCCACTTTCGTCACTTATGACCAGAAATTTAAATGAAAAATTAATCTCAATGTTCATTTTCAGAAATATTATCAAACACGGAAAACGGTTCACGCAGAAATTAAAACATGTAGGCCTAATAAAATATGTTCATGTGCAGTTTTTTATGTAGGGCCTACAAACACTCGTCTTACCAACTTGAAGAGATAGCTTATTCGTCACGTGACCTGCGCACAGGGGTTGGCCGAAAGTACTTCAAGAATCACTTGTGTTCTTGCATAACAAACAGTTCAGTGTTTTCGTAAAGGCGCAATAGAACGTGTATGATTGCTAACAACACTGCAGTAGGCTACGAATTATAGTTACAATATTTCCAAATAGTCGAAACATTTTAAAAATAAATTTTGGTCATTTCTACGAACCAGTATCAAACCGCGCACCACAGTGTGAGAAACACTGATGTAATTGGATGCTTACGTCTTCAAAATTCAGAATCTGTATCAGCAGAGAAAATTCAAGTAAATTAATTTAACCAATGCAACTTTTTGAAGAAATTGAATAGAGAATTGTTTAACTCAGAACCAGCAAACGATGTCAGTGGGCACATATGAACGTACAAATCGCACGGAGTTAGCATTTGCCGGCCATGCATGAAGAAGGAAACCCATAATTAGAAATATTAAGAAATGGTAGCGTGTTAGTCATGCAAATAGATTGGCGATTTGTACAAGTCATGTGTGGGATCTGACATAAATAATTTTTATATCCGGCTCCGACGAAGTTTTAATATTTACTATATGTGACGCACATTTACATGAGTCTGAATGGAAATTTTTTTCAGGAATTTAAAATTATGCGAAGAACTTTTTTAAATTAAATATTGTCTTGAATATGTTGGGAGTAATAGACCCGATAGTCTATAAAATCAGTCGACATTTCTTAATTATATAAATTATACGAAGTTGTTACCAGCGTCACAATATGGTTTTAAATAAATATTTAAAACTATTTAATGGTGCGAAATGACGTTTGTTTCTTCAGTCTGCGTTTAGGTTTTGTCCTCATTCTGACAATGATACCGTGATAAAATCTACATCTCAAAAGGATAACCAAAATTTGCATATAAAGCGTTGATTTGAAAACGTGAACCTACGTGTTATAAAATATCAAGAAATTTCCTGACCGATTAAATATCCATCAGCTACTCTGTCTGGTAGTTAAGTATTTCTGCGTAATTTGCATCCACATTTAACAATTCTCAAACTCTTTTCGCGTTTACCGTACATCGCCGAATGTTTAATTCTGTCAACAGTTTTAAGCACAAACCGTGAATCATGTAGGCGTTGTCCGTTTCTGTCTCCGTCTCCGTCTGCCGGTGGAGCCTTGAACAGATTCTGACGACATCATGTAGCCTACTCAGAAGTCTAGTTAAAGCATACGTTTGAAACAAATTCCTTTCAAGCAGTTTCGGGCAATGAGGGCCCCTAAATCAGTCAAATATTTGACCGAAATTGCATTTCATCTAGCCATTTGTCACACCAAACAGTTATTTATTGGTAGGCTATTTACGAACGCTGTATCAACTGCACAAACTTTGTGTCAAGGTTATATCAGTCCGATACTATTTACCGGAAGGAACCAATCAGAAGTAAGCATTAATAACACCAGAAGCACATTGAACTGTTAATAGTCTTACGTAGCCAGCATGTGACAATGTTATAAAGGAGAAGAAAGATAACATTTTTCAAGAATACAGAAGAAAGTGCAGAGAATTGTTGACAGCAGGAGCTCCGATAACAGCACACAAAACATTTAAAGTCTCAACCTAAAGAAAGATGACGCTTGGATAGAGTTATGGAATGGTCACAACAGAACAAGGTCTGTGGGGGGGGGGGCGTTTGGAATGGGAGGAGTCATTATGTACTATTATATTAAAGTATGAGGACAGGATATGCCATGGCTGTTTGAGGTTACTTTCCCAGAAGGACTGAGAAAAACTACAAAATCTCTTAGTCAGGATAGCTTAAAATATATAAAAATATTGCTTAAAATAGCATTTTGAATCTTGTCATTGGCAAATTAAAGTAATAATTAACTTAAATCTATGACAGTTAAAGAGTAATTTCTAAATGTCAGTGACAACTGTTCAACACTGGCTATTGTACTTATGTTTATCATAATGCTAACAGACTTAATATTATTATTTAACAAAATTAAGTCCTGTAACACCTATTTTTATAATAACTGTTTAAATAGCTCCACATAGGACCTATTCATTCTAAACTGTCTCTATGGAAACTAGTCTAAAAACTAGGCTATTGCTCAGCGTTGAAATTATTTCAACACAAAGTATGATTCATGTGACTACAATTTTATAACGGAGGCATTCAATTTATAAACTAAATAATAAATGAGAACTGTGTGATTTATGGTCAGCAATAAATCTAACCCCAAACCTAAGTTTCTATGAAAGCCCACTCATTATTGATATGTGATATTATAATTCATATTAGTTTTAGTATTTATGTTGATAACATAACATAAAACTTGGAAAACGAAAATGCCTAGAACTTGTGCAATGAATGCTTCATATTAATTATGCAGCTCCTTGATATGATTTATATGTATTATTGTCAACAGAATATTCTGTATTACTTTAAAATTTGGCAAAGAAATCTGTATGAACTTCTGAATAAGTTATTCACTTTACAGTACCTTAATTTCCCACTTGTTTCCCAGGTTATAAAAAGGCGCCATAATTACATGTTGATCGATATTTACACAGTAATTATGAAATTCCTAGTCTGGTAATACAGCCTACAAAAGTCGAAATTATAACTGCAATTTTTTTTAAATTATTATAAAGTTGTAACGAATGCTTCGTTTCAGTTATAAACAAAACTACAGATTTTAATATTCATGTTAGAGCCATAAAATTACAAATCGAAAAAACCAAAATGGCTACGAACTTGTATTACAAGGCGCCAAAGTGACAATGAACTTTTGAAACCGATCCTTCATATTAATGGATATCGCTAACATTAATCATGCAATTTAGGTTGAAATGATAACTAATTTGAATTTCTAACTGCATTTAAAAGAAGTGAAATAAAATGACGTCACAAATACTTGTAAGCTGTGTAGTCAATGCAACTTGCAAAACTGGAAGAAAGTTCTAGAACACAGACAGGCAGCCAGCTACGTTCATACTCGCCACACGATGCAACAACTCTGCTCCTGATTGGCCGTTGCGTCGTGATAATATAAGCCTTACCATCAGTTCGCCCGCTAGATGTCAGACGTTATCAGGAGTAGCACCTGTCGCCCAGAGGAATCAAATTCAAAGTTAGAAATCAGACTACACAAGACATACAGACGAGCCGCAAATTTCGGGAATATTTTCATATTTTCAGGATTTTACAATTATATAAATATAAAATTGCAACATAACTTAATTATTGTTCCATATCTTCCATCCATACGCGTTTAAGTCCTGATATCTTAATATAAGACTGTCTTTTACAATACAACGAAACCAGTTGTGTACCACATTTGCGTGCGGCTGTTTTCAGAGTTGGCGAACGGACAAACCATCGCTGAACTTCGAGCAGATACACGTGACGTCATAAAAACAAGTGAATGACCAGCCCCGGTATAAGCATATGATCACACCACCCCCTTCATACCCCTCCACAACAACAAACTTAATGTGAGGTTGTAAATGTTCAATACATAATGTATTTCAGCACAAATAATCTATAACATAATATGAAGGAGTTTATATCAATGTATACTTGTTAGTAGGTAAATTCTACGATGTTCCTTTTCTAAATTTACGAGAATCGTTGAATTTCGCGTATAAAAAATTATGGTATAAAGTAAGCGATAATGGCTCGAATCTTGGTTCTATAATACACAGACATAAAATACATTACGGCAGTTTTCATCAACATAATCAATCTTTTGAAAAATGCCTTCGAATCGCATTGGTCCACTTCTCCTTACTGCCCCTTAAGTTGACATCTGAATCTAAGTATCTCGACTGAACAAGACATTTGACTCCAGCGAAAGCTTGTTGGATCATGGTTTTATTAAAACTGTTGGAATTTTCTCACGGATGGTGGGAGTTTCCAAGTATGATTAAAGAAATAATAAGTTTATAGACTATGGCATTCTGGGTTTCTGCAACATGTCCTCAGAAATGTTGGTGCATTGTCATCCTAATTCACCATTGCAGAGACCACAAAGGTTAAGTCATTACCACAGGAACAAATTTTGAGGCAAGATTAAAGCTGATGATGACTGTCATTTAGGTTATTGTGCCATGTACCTTGGTGAAAACTGCCATTTCAGAGGTGATTATTGCCTCCATAATCAGAGTGAGGATTCATCACACTGATTATGTAGGCATATGCACCTGTAATGTGTCAGCTAATTTTTACCGAGTTGCATGGCATAATAACCTAAAAGACAATCATTTCACAAAAATAAAACTGATTTGCATTTGTAACTGCACTGGCAGCAAAACAGCCCCTACTCAACATTTTCGGGTTCAAATTCCCATTGTCAATCATGGAAATGTTTATCAAACTTCCCAAAGTAAAACACATAACCTCAATAAGTCTGCCTGAACCACTTTACAATTCGGCGAAACTAATTTAGTAAACTGCTAACCTAACCTAAAAAAATGGAAAGAATATTTCCAGGCTCCTGTTTTAAGTTGTATCCTAAATGTACCACTGCAACTGTGATGGTAGTAACATACTGGAAGCAAAAGGTCAGAAGTCAAAGAACAAGAATGCATGACCTTCAGTTGTTGACCTTTAAAACTGAAACAAAAATAAATCCATAATACATGCCAAGATGTGAAAAAAGAATATATTCAGCACCATTGAAAGCTTATTTTATTTATAATTATATTAAAATTATAACATAATTCATCATTGTCACCAGTACCCTAGTATTACATAGTTCGGTACAAGTCTTTCTGTTTTAAACAAATACGCGTGTGTCCATACACACGCGTATTTTAATATATTATTTGTGTATATATTTACAGACTGGCAGAGCAGACAACACTCCTTCATACAATGACCTCTTAAAATAATATAAAAAATTCCACAACTCATTCACACAACCTCATCGTCTCGTATTCAGGAATGGCGTCTCTATCACAATATATGTACATATAAAAACTGGAATGTAATTTTAAACACCATATATATATATATATATATAACAGCAAGTAAGGAAAAAATATTGCAAAACAGAGAAAGATTATAAATAAAATCAAGGCCGCACGTTGCTTGAACACGCTCGGTCTCGAGACTAGCATGGGATGGTCACCATGGTCATTCCTGTCACTTGTGAGAGTAATACAGAACCCCCCAAAAGGTCACTCTCTTGCAATAAATTATTACTCTCTGTGAATGTGTTTCAAAGCACTTAAAAATTTGAGCAACAAAGTACTTCATATCCCCAAAAGTTAAGCTATATTCATTTTAATTATATATACATATATATTTATTTATCTTATACACAATAAAATACCTACCCATCCAATGGTGGTTCTGAGCCACAACATTTTGAGTTAGTGTTCAATGAGGTAAACATCGTAATGTTAGTTTTGGAGCATACAAAAGAGGAATGAAGTTGGAATGACGTGACCTGGAAGCCATGTGTGTCGAATGTACAAATTATTTACAAACATTATCTTACTGTAGGGCACTGTGCCTATGTACAAACCGTGTGATTAATACTCTGGAAAAAAAAAAGAGTCAAATCTAAGTCTTTCCCACAACCTCCCATTGCACGTGTCATGCTGATGAATTCAAGCTTAATCAATGCCGCGTTCTCCAAGAGTCCACCGAACCTGCTTGCCACATGGGGTTCAGCATCTGCTATGAGAGGAACTCTCTCTCAAGCTCGGTAATAGAGGGCTTCCTGCTGCGTCCAGCACTTGAGTTAACCTCCCCACTGAGCCTCCGGATCCTCCTGGTGACAGCCTGCAACGGCACTGTAACATCTTGGCTTTGTCCATGCACTGGAATATCAAGGAGCGTCTCCCTCGTCTCCGCAGCCATCATCGTGACAGGTGAAAACCGGACCCGAGACACAGAAGAGTACGAACCCTCCTTAGCTGAGACATAACTACTGTCCTCACTTGTTAGACTGTCAGGGGGAGTCGGGTTGGTGGGCGTACCTGCTCCGCCAGACGACGATGAGCCACCCCCTCCACCTGTCCTTGATCCCCCTACGGGAGTATAATTATACCGTTTCAAGCTCGATCGAAGCCTCGTTCCTCCGCCAACCTCGAGTGTGCCGGGTCTTGTATCAGCCACATTTGATGCATTTGAATCATGAGAGTTCTGCCTAGAAAAGAAAGGTGGTGGTTGGGGGGTATATTCGTAGTCCAAACCGCGGCGCTGCTGGGAGGTATAATAATGGTGTGTTGGTGTGTTGTACTGTGAATACTCTCCCTCATCTTCAAGTCTGAAGCTTGGATTCACATTTGAACTACTGTTATTTGATGATGAAGCATTAGATACATTTGACGGTGTTCTACGATGTTCATATTGAGTATGATTGGTGGCATTGCCACTCGCACATAGACGTGAAGGTGTGCGAGGGGTGATGCTATTCGTAGAACTGCTCACACTGCTCACGCTTGGATTATCGTATGCACCCGTGTGGGCGTGATGGTGTAGTTGGTAGCCTTCAAATTCAGGATACAGTCGATCAGCATAGTGCAGTACAGCACTGTTCCCCACAGTGCTGTACATACCACCTGTGAAGTATGAGTCAGTCCTGTACAGTTCTGGGCGTGCCGAATAGTGACTGCTGCTGGCATAATGAACCACACTGGCACCACCACCATCTGGGTAGTCTGCTGCTGAGATATACAGACTGGGACCTCTGTGGTCCAGAAGACCCCCTCCAGATGGGGCAGGTGGGGGCGGGGGATATGTAGCCTGTAAAGACAGCCAACAAATTAAGCCACATTATTACTGGTTGATAAGAAGGGGACATGGAGAAGAATCACTTCTTCTTCTTCTTCTATGGCTCTCCAGTCCGTATTCGGTCCATGGCCTCCTCAATTCTCCTCTTCCATTTGGTCCTCTGTTAGGTCCGTCTGTCCGAGTGGAGAAGTATCACACTTCACTACATTTCCGGTGCAACAACAAAATATCAACCAAATATGGCCTTCCACAGACTACAGAAATGAGTCTGACCCTTTAAACCAGAATGCATTTTAGGTTGGATACCTGATTACTTCTCTGAACATCATCATCAAACCTCAAGTATCTGATTTAATTGCAGTCATTAAAATAGTGGACACCTCTTACCTTATTCTGATCAAGCCTGGCATGAAGAAAGGAAGTCTGTCACAGACGAACTCTAATCCCTTTACCCACATGACAAAGATTAATGTTAATATCACGATTCCAATATCCATACATGCTTTTGCACAATCTATCAGTATGTGCTCACCTCACTACCCTCGTTGCTGGTGCTAGATGATTTTCGGCGGGGGGAGGGGGTGGGCGTGCCTCCCTGTGCCGTCGCATAATGCTGAGGAGAGTCGGTGAACCGCAGTGGCTTGATGCCACCTTCAGGATCCTGCCCCAGACTGTTAAGCAAGGGCCTCAGATGCCTGGCAGGCCCATGGTACGTGTTGTGAGGGTAACCCGACGCACTGGAAAACTCGTAGTCCATGCCCAGATACGTGGGACCCACGCCTGAACTACGATTTGAACCCCCACCAAACCACCATCGTCTGTCTTCCTGCTCTTCTTCTGACCTGAGCAAATTATTATCAACCCAAAGTGTACCAGATTCCTGAGAATTTAAGTGTTTAAAGTAAAAACATTGTCATTATTAAGTTTTCTGGAATTAGGTAATGGCATTTGCTATATGCCAGACATAATGCGCTTATAGCACAATAATTTAGCTAGTTAAACTGATTATCTCTTAGATAAACAAAAGGAAAAACTGTTACTACATTTCACACCTATTCACTCAGCACAGTAAAATTCACACACTCCGCTATATTAAAATTTACCTGTCAGGGTGCAGTCTTGGATGCACAGGTGAAACGTTGGACAGGCGGACGTCATAGCCTGCTGCGACTCCAGCAATCATGGCAGCCATGTTGTAAAGAACAATCTCAATGATGGAAGGCTTTCCGGCTGCAAGTCTTCCTCGGCAGGGTTCCAACCCATTGCTGTATAAAGTTGGCATGGGAACAGGCAAGGCGAGAGGAGGTGCAACAGCGGCAGTTGTCGGCCAATCGCATGACACGGCGCCATTTGGGTCAGCACTCATCGTTGCTGCATAGTCTGCGGACAGGAAGTAAGCCCGGAAGAACCCCACCGGTGGAAAATGTCAGTATTATAAGTCTCTCTGTCTACTGAAGCAACCTGATATGTAACATGACCGACACATGAGCACCACAGGACCTCGACACAAACTGACACTTTGCTAAAAATGTCACACTAATAATCCAACCAATATTTACTAAAAATACAAGACGAAAGTAGCGAACTTTATACTAAACTGATGAACAAATTTAAAATTGCAAATGAACAGAAGGAACGGGTTGAACACCTCCAGCATAGCAATGAGATTAGAATAGTGTGTGTATTGTTCATGATTTTCCTCAGTGTCTCCAAAGCAAATGCATGGACAGTACCTCAAATTATGCCATGACAACTTCCTTCCAAATCCTTCACAATTCATTATTCATCCAACCACTGGATCCCACACAGTCTGTGGTACTGACAGCTTTGCTACATACATAAATATGTTGTTTACTAATGCAGTGCGTCAATATATTAACATAAATTACATGTAACGAGTCGCAAAGCACCAGCTACATCAGACTGCTGCAGGTAACACAGAAAATATGCCTTTGGCTCGATCATATGATTGCCAAGGAAACAGTATGAAGCCTTGCAAGTGTTTCATTACATATACTCTTGTACTGAAAACCATGCTATGAGTGTACAACAAATTCCAGGATATCACTTAGATTTCTCTCCATTTTCTTTCCAGGTGAAACCCTCCTTTCATCCACCCCGCAAAAATATACACTCCTATTCTCCTGGTCACATCATTATCTCCCCTCCTCATAAAATGACTCTGACTGGCCAATTTCTGTAACCTGTTCCATTGCAAATCGCAATATAAACCAGTTATTTCCTAACATTTCTCACTTCAGCCCTGATAATAAAGGTAGTGCGATCTTTTAAGTGTCAGTGTCAGAAACATGGCCATGTGGCGCTACCCTCCAAAAGCAGGAGCAACAACAATGGTCCAAACAGCTTTTAATCTCTGCACCAGTTTTCTTACATGCAACCTCTCTAAAGGATGTTCTCGCAACACTAGCTCCAAGTATCCGAGACTGGTTTTACTACCACAGAATAGAATCCTGGTAACCTTCAGTTACTTGGCCAAGCAAATATCTTCGGTAACTGTCCGAGGGCAGGTTTCTACTGAACCTTCCAAGCACGACTAAAAACTGTAGAATTAAATTCAGACTCTCCAGTATTCTAATACCCAATATGTTTTGGCAAACAATACGCAATCATCATGGGTATACACAGTGTTAAAGCTATTAAAATGTACATATAAAAATTATTTTCATTATCTTTGCATTGGAAATATAGAGGTTATAACCATTTCTCAATGCCTACTTATTTCCCACCCATCCTGTATATGCCTAATAATGGCATTATGTCAGCTTAAGCATGACGGATATTAGAAGAAAAATGCATATAGATTATGAGGCTCTAGCGGTGATGCCAATGTCGGTCTTCTGGGTTGTAACACGACGTGGCCTCGTGGGCAGATACCAACATTCCAGATGTGTATAATGCTTCTTTGTTCAAGCCATGTGGATGTGTAAGTAGATTCTAATGTTCCCCCTAGAATTCCGATATCTACCTACAAGTCCACATGGTTATACAACCCAGAAGACCAACATCTACAGGGCACACTTGTTTCGATGACGTGTACTTCATTAAGACTTTAAAGACTGGAATACATCCAATTGCAAAGATCATCGACAAACTGTGGCCATACCGAACTCGCACGGAACTGCTCGATCACATACCTGCACCTTCTCCTCCCCGAGTTGCGAGTGATGAACTGCACCGTTTCGTAAGTGTAAGAGAAAGGCAATGAGAGAGTTTCCTGTGGGAATGTGAATTCCGTAGGAAATACTTATCTTCTATGAAAATTCACTGCCACAATGACTCAGTTCTTGGTCAAAATATTCTCAAACCCAGCACAACACAAAGATGTATAGCAGACAAAAGGGGAATCAAGAAATGCACAGAATATTGTGGTTGGAAAACATGAAGGGAAGATATTACTTGGGAAAACAAGACACAGATGGGAAGGATCATATGAATCAGCACCACAGAGAAGCAGATTGTGAACTTCAACAAATTGGCTAAAGATAGCATCCATCATCAGGCATTTTTAAAGAGTATGATTATTACAAAATGGCTGTCTTCTTGGTTGTAGACCCATGTACTGATCATAGTCCTGATGACAGAGGCAGAAAGGACCTCTGAAACACTGGTAAACGTCCACCAGTTTACATGGCGCTACATCCCAGAAGACGGCCACCTTCGGACTCACCGCCATGAAAACCACAGATCCATTTCTTAACCAGCTGAATAAATATCAGCAGGTCGAAAGAAGAAATATGTGCAATACAGTTAGTTATGCGGTTAGTTCAGAAAACACGACAGATGGAGAGACTGAAGAAAAGCACAAGAGTTAAGTTTCACATCCAATATTCATATCAAGTGTCTTTAAAATTCAAGTACCGTGGACTGTTTTCCCTGTTAACTTGCTCAGTACGAAAAAAATGATCAATGAAATTTGTGGTGAGGTTGCAGAATGTTGTACCCATAACTGAAATCGCTTAAATCTGTTATATTACATATGAGCAACGGAATGTTGTGTGCAAAAATAACCAAGTGTTCCAACACAGGATGCAAATTTGTTTAGATGTGCACTTATTTCTTAAGACACAACAGAACACGTCATCACAAATGAGAGAAAACAAAATTAGTGTAGCAGCGAGTATTGACTGTTTATCGACAGGAAAGAGCGGGACCTTGTCAGTAGTGTTCCCATCATTAATTATGTGCTCTCTGTACAAAGTGTATAAAACATGAAGGAGACGTTGTTTTTATCCAACCTTACATATCACGTCCAAAACTGCTCACTAATTTTCAATAAAAGTAAAAGTTATTGGACAGACTTAATTTCAGATTATACAAATTTAACATAATCCCTACTAAAATAGAATTCCAACACGTTTCTCTCAAAAACAGTCGTCCAAAAATATTTACATAATATAAAATACATATCTGATTAAAATTTAAAACTTTTATTTGAAACATTTCCCAATGCGGTGTATATTAACCACGGCTCATTCAATTTAATTTTCAATTTTGTTATTACATTATTCTGTTAGAAAAAGCAAAGCGTTAAATTAAATATAAGAAACGTAATTTACACTTGTACGCAGCATAACTATTGTTCATGCGCAACCTTCGTCAAGAAACAAATTTGCAAAGAAGACAGCCATCTGAAATAATGCACATGTAGTCTGTGCAAATTGCCTCTATCGTCACGGCAATGAAACATCGGTCAACATACATGAGACTACACAGTGCAATATCCCAAAATGTTGTCATCTTCATAATCGTCGCCATGACAACCTGAAATCTGAAGGGAAAAAAATCTGTGTTCAGGCTGGTCCTCTTGGTGGTAATGCCCTGTAGACTTGTAGGTATACTTGTTGCAAAATATCTCCGAACCTGAATCACGTCACAGTAAGGGCAAGGAAGATGGTAAGGGGCAGAAATACACCATACGTACTGTTATTTGCCTGTTTTCCCTCTCCTCCCCATACCTCAACTGGCTGGCCACTGACGTGTAATTCTGTGGTGGACAACAAAGACTGGAAATATCTTACTACAAGTGATGAGATGCCTACGGCGAGGCAACACTGCACAGACCGGTATATACCTGCAAGTCTGGGATGGAACATTGCGTAGTCTGGTAGAAATTTACCGACATTTCAGAGACGCTTATGGCCTCCATTATCAGGGCAATCAATCCTGATAATGGAGGCGATACGTACCTGTAAAATGTTTATAAATTTGTGCCAGAGTACAACATTCAAGACAGTAGTCGTCTTCAAACTCGTCACTATGAGAGGCTGAAATCTAGACACATCCGTAGTGATACGACCAAGCAGACCAATATCAACAACCGATGAAGTGACCGTCTAATATCTCTTTGAATTGCATTGAAAAGCAGATGGGATGACAGAACAATTCAACATAATTATTATAACAAATGTTTCCCAATTGTGCAAATCTGACATGCAAAAAACAATATTTTCCTTTCGATGAATATGGAAGTAACACGATAAAATTTATATTACAGTCGCTATACAATCTTCAGGTACGGAACAAATCTCATATATGATGATGGAAGCTTTGATGTATCGACTTACATATTTACAAGCAATATTCTATCACAAAACAACTTCCTGTTCCTTTTTAAATATGTGGTTGCCTTGCAGAAAAAGATGACCAATGCAAAGTGTGGCAAAGGGAAACATTTAAGTGGACAATATTTTCTAATATACTCAGGTTCAATCTAGCCATGTGAAACACAGCCCCACACTGAAAAATGACAAAAAAAAAATGAATGTGTTTAAGCACCCTGAAATATTCATACACGTGTGGTGCAAATGTCTTCTCATGATACGTATCACGGCCAACAGCACAGATATCAGGCAAGGAATTAGGCACTGTTACACAAAACTGCTTCATCTCTGTCAGAAGCTAATTACATTACATTCCTTAGCTATTATTTCAAAATTCTTCCCTGCCCTTGAATAACACCCAAAGAACGTATAATACTGCTACATGCGTCAATCTGAAACACTGAAGCATGCTGTTAGCACAGGGAGGAGCAAGCAACAAAACTTATACATGGCCTAAACTTTTATTGGAAACTCAAAAGAAACTGATACACAAATACATGTGAGGATACAACAAAACCACCACCAATTTCAGACAACACAAATTTACTGCATGACACATGAACTGCTTTTGCTACGGACCACAGTAATTCCTCAATGAACGCAAAACTTGTGCTTGTCGCAAGTTCCGGCTTAGTCAAAAACGCGATAAATTTACGAGCAGCGGGTCGACTTCCGTTTGGATGACGGGACGACCGACGGCTGTAAAAAGTGACGAGACAGAAATGAAAATAGTTCACTTATAAAAATGTGAAGCTGTCCCAGTGTCACTATGCCATGAACACGCACAGCAGATCACAGGTAAATGTCCACGGACTCTTAACCTTGGCACTACGGAGAAGACAGCAGTCAGCTTCGTGTTCAGAAACCTTTAGCCCTTTGAAGAAAAGTGGTAACTACATGTAATACCTGCTTTAACGTCACTAACTCTATTTTTCCCACAAAGTGTACATATCGGTTTTACGTTATTATCAGAATAAAAATCCATTATTTCCCTAAACATGTCATGGACACACATCATGTTTTGTATGAGAGAGGTCTGAATTTTTAAGTATTATTTAGACAAGCTTCAAAACTACTGAACCCCACAGCTAGTCTGAATACGGTATGAAAGTGTAAAATCTACCCCTTAAAGAAGCAAAACCCCCGACTTCCAGGCCACAGTCAGTGGCGTTCTTGTTTTCTTAACGAACACGAGTTTACAAACAACAGAGATACTTTTTAATTTCCTGCTATCAGTTATACCAACTTGCCATCAATGAACATTTACAGCGTTAATGAAACTAGTGACAGTTTAATACAAGTCCATAGGGGTTGTTATCCCTGGGGGCACTGCAAAGCCTGGGAATGATGCTGACCGCTTACCCGTATCTATCTTAGTGCCTGGGTCAACGACAAGTAGGGGCTATACCACCTCTCCCTACGAGTGTGTTCGTGGTGCGTAGCGGGACAGTTTTACTTTACTTTTACAGGCCAGGAATCTGAGAATTACCGTTAACGTTCCTTTAATGTCACACACAATAAATTTGTATTGGCTCACTGCTTATGCATGATGCAGTCAGTCAGTCAGTCAGTCAGTAGGGCTCAGATATCATACTCAACGGACATTGGATAAAAGCAGCAACATGTCTTATGAACAAGTAAATTTGTGCTTACAGGTTTTTCACAATTTGTAATGCTAAATAAATGCAACACAAATGATACTATCTACCTACTAGCTAGTTGTTAACACAACATTACCACTAAACAATTCTAAATAACAAATTAATATTCAATAATAATGATAACAAAAGGAAACAAAGAAACAAAGTGGGGGTAGTACAAATCAAAACAAGGCGGCAACACTTTGCATGCCAAGTCATCACTTACAGAGGGAGTGTAGCTGCTCCTCTGAGTAGCCTGAACAGAGAGAATGTCAGCTGGTCAGTTGTGACGCCCGCCACCTCCTGCACCCCCTTTGTCCCCACCACAAATTATGTCTGTCCATTTGCACCGAGACAGAAATGAGAGTGTGAAAAAAGCTATGCCTTCTGTGAAGACAAAAGAAAAACCCTCGACACTCGTGACATTTCACGTTCGTGTTATTGAAACTCAGCAGACATAATTTTTTGTGTAAGTACTAAAATTGAGTTTTGAACTCAGACTTTGTTCAAAGAGGCCATTTCTTCTCAGACAAAAAACATTCATATCTCCTTAACAACTTCAAAGTGGAAGAAACCTGTAAACTCTCACTGAGTTTATTATAAAAAAGTAGTCACACATGATGATTCTTAATAATGCCGCAAGAAAGTTTCCATTCCCAACTTGTGCATCAGGACAACCTCCTCGGTGCAAATGACAGCAATTAGTTCTCTACTCCACCCTTTCCTGGCAGTCTTGATCATCCATACCTATTTCCTGGAGGGCGGCGATGTTGGGGGTGCCCCCTGCCCTGGCAGCAGCCGCGTGCTTCTCGAGGTTGGGGGCACTGCGGCTCCACCGCTTGGGCCCGCCCGGAACTCCGTCTACCACCCGCGTAATGATCTGCCCACGCTCTCGCTGATGCAGAGTGCTTGGCCCCCACGTCTTACCCTTCACCCCATCAGCAGGGACTACCAACACAAGAATAATTAAGTCTAGTCCTTCCCATCAGAAACCCACCAATCGGCCCCTACCCTCTTCTTATAGAGCATGTAGCTATATTCAATGACTGAACCCGGTCCCGCGTGTAACCGTTCCGAGCCTTGCCTCTTAACACGAGCTTACTTGTGATTACAGATACCTTTATTCTGTGATATACAGAACTTTACTAAAAGACTATAAATAAAAAACCAAACAAACTGTCTACATAAAAAATGCCATGCTACAAAGCAAGACACACACTTTAGCAACATGCTCTTAAAAAGTGCCAAATAGCAGTCAAGGTCAAACCAGTGTTTCTCAACTGATTATAGTTTCCTTCTTCTCTAAATGATGAACACAGAGATCAAATTATACAGCACATGTCAGATTCTTTGCTGACTTTTACTGCAGTATAATTTTATCCTTTATCAGCAGTGTGAGAAAGAATCTTCCATACATTCGTGATAACACTAGAGGGCATTCAGAAGTTAAAAAAACACTGATTCAAAAATAAGACTGATTTAAGTGACTTACTCAACTACACAATGAACAACGGCTACTCACGTGCAATGGCACGAAGACGTGGGATGCTGGGTGACCCAGGGGGGCTGTTCGGGCTTGATGGGTTGCGAGGTTTTCGATCTGGCGCAGTGTGCTGTACGGTGAAAGTGTGTCGGAAATCTGCGACAACAGACACGTATCCGTCGTACAGTAAGCACAAATCCCAAAGTCATACGATCACTGAATAGCATTTCCATAAAAGATGTCTGTCTTCTGGGATGTTGCACCATGCAGTCTGGCAGAAATTTACTACATTTCAGAGATACCGTTTCCATCATCAAGGATGAGTCATCGCCCTGATGGAACACCAATAAATTTCTACCAGAGTACATGGTGCAACATATTAAGTGGTCAGGAGAATATCGAGGCAGAAGACAAATGGGTAATTTATGATGTTTCTTAACGCTTCGTATTTTACACACACCACTAGCATTGTTCAAACAGAAGTCTATGAGCCAGTGGCAGGCAAAGGGAAGACATGCATACATAATTCTGCTGGGGGAACCTCCTGGAAACTGATCAGGGGGAAGACCAAGGAGATGGGAGGATAACATTAAGATGGACCTTGCTTCTGTAATAGCAGTGTTCACAATTTTGGTTATATTACAAGGAAGTTTGCTGGTGTACTCACCTGATGGTAGACTAATATTTTGCCCAGGCTCTTTCTTTAGAATTTTGAGGCGGCCACGTTTGAACTTTCCTTTGCGTTTCTTGGGTGTAGGTGTTTGTTGCTGTATGATCATGATGTGGAGCTCTCGCTCCAGCAAGTCAATCTCGCGCGCTGCCAGCTCCTGTTCTCGCTGACGCAAGTTCTCCTCCACCATCTTCTGCTGCAACTGCGCCTTTGTCAGTTCTTCCTCCCGACATCGCAGCTCCTGCATGATAACACATTATTAATGGCACTATGTTCAGCATCTCATACTTATAACACAAAAACATTACACTTAAAAGTGCTTTTAATTTGTGAAGTTTTCGACATTATATATATATATATATATATATATGATGAAGCCATCTGTAAACAAGTACATGAAAGTAAATACGCCGCAGTAAGATTTATCCCGTCTTTGGATTACACTGGGAAACTGTTAACATCAAAGCAGAAGTTACCAACAGGTGGTTTCTTATCAAATAATGTAAGCCAGCAAAACTGAAACTGAGTTTCTTCGTGCAAAATTTAAAGGACTTAAAAACCTCCAAATCACTTCACTCTTAAGAGTCTTATGCTCTGTTCATTACAAAAATTTTAATAAAACATATTTAGTTTCAGCAAAACGCTTCCACTACACCTGTCAGTCTCTCCCGTTGATTGTTTTTCCATCACTCTGCCCTGTTTCTTTTATTTTACTGGAATTAAGCTTCAACCGGCCACAACTTTTTTATCGAGCTGGCATGACCTTCAGTACACCTGAATATAACATGCAGTTAAATCAGTCACAAGATGAGGACTAATGTAAATCAAATTCTATTAACTTCTCACAGGTGGTTACCAACATTCTGGACAAACATGCTGCCACCATCTTCAGAGTAAAGTGAAGTTTTCATTCAGAAGATGGAGGTGATATATATCCCACCCCCTCCCAGAACGTTGTTCACCACCACATACAAGACCACACGATGTCACAACCCAGAAGCCTAGAATCAAAACTCTGAAGTCAAAAATTGTTAACTGAAAGTGCATAAGAAGTGAGTAACACAATTCAAACGCTCGTCAAACATGCTGCGACAGAGGTGCTCATACGGCAGTTACGAACCTAATAACAGAGTCCTCTACTTGTAAACCAGGTGATGGTCATAAAAGGTGTGCAGAATATGCGTGACTAAAACATATAATATGCAGCAGAAAGGTGGGATATTTGAATTCTGACCAATACACATTTTTACTCTAACCTGTGGTAAACATCAAGCAAAGATAGATGGTGTCCTTGTCATGGCATAATTTTTAATTAATGTGCTGTTAAAACCTAACATGACAGTGTAAGGGGTTTAGTGATAAACCAGACACAACACTGTTAACTACACTGATAAAACATGCTTAGTTTCTTACTGATTATAATATATTATAACAGTCGATGAATTTAAGAGCAATCATACATCTAGAGAGATATTCAAAACACACGCACAGCAATAAATTATAAAACTTACTGCCCACATGATGTACAGGGGTGGCAATGTCACACATCTTTGACAAATCAAAATCCACGAGGTTGGTTCAGTGAGTTCCGAAAACAGATTTACTCTAGCCAACTGATGACGCAAATTAAAGATTACGCAACACCGTCGTCAAAGAATTGTCCTTGGGCAGCTACATACTTTTGCCATTGGATGCACAGTTCCTGGAAGCACCAATGGAAATAATTTCCTAGAATGCTCATCAGAGCAGATGTCGTTATGACTTTCGCCCTTGTCCACGCTACAGAAACATCGTCCCTTCAGCCGAGATTTCATGGCTCAGAAGACGTGAAAATCTGGCAGCGAGAGATCCAGCGAGTACAGCAGATGTGGCGGCACTGTCACCTCGGTATTTGCCACGCAGTTCCAATGATGACGTCTGGACTACTGACGAGGCAAATGCCGGACTGACACAAGAATCAACAACTGCACTTCAACACCATTTATCAGACAAATTTCTGAAGTGGGTGGCATGTTCAGCAAATTATAGATTTCCAAATGTCACTTTCACATAAAACCATCATCACTTCCCTTTTTCCAAGCCCACGACCGCTACGATAAATCTATTATCGGTACTTTCTGAACCAACTTCATGTATGCATAAAGAAACAAGAATATTATCTTCCTTTGCTTTCAGAACAGATCATGATGACATGCATTACTATCACTTAACAATACAACTGGTATGAACAGATAACATGAAGACAACCACTGAACTCCCAGTGGTACGACTCACCTCCTCGAGCGACCTGCAAGCCTGAATGAAGCATCAAACGAAACAAAAAGAAAAAATGTTGCAAATTGTACCTTTACAAATGAATTTCAATACATGAAGGCAATCAATTATCATAAACAGATAAGCTCCTAAGATATAAGCTATATGTAACCACATGTCTACCGTACAAACTGAATTTTATTGTGAGAAATAAATAAAAACTTCAAGTACGGGATACATTTCCATTCAACAAACTATGAAATAACTAGCAAATATCTGAAAACAAAGAGTTCAGGGAAATATCTGAACCAAACACAAGTTACGTGAGAGAAGACTGGAATACATTACACATGAGAAACTTTGTAAATTATACAGCGCAAAAAAATTGTAGGGCATTGAAGTCTCTAAGATTAAAGGACTGATACGTAGCTTGGACAGAAGTAAGATATGCTCACAGGATACGAGGAGGCAACTATTAGAAGGTGGTTACCTGTTAGGCACAGGAAGAGGTGCAAGTACAACATTACGATAGATCTGTCGGAAACAGATGGTGATGAAGTGAATGGGTCAACTTTTAAGCAAAAGTCTATGCAAATAATGTGGACACAAAACAATTCTTCCAAAGTTTGTGAGAAAAACTACAAAAATTGGTTGTTTGTTAGTCAATATTTATCCAAGTATCAGGACTTGGACATGCATTTAATATTTCATTATAGCACATAAAAGGTAACTTCTAAACAAATAAACAAACAGTACGCACATAAAAACTCGAGGTGTATCTACGATAATTACATTTGTACTTCCTTCTGCTATGGAACCTCTCAAAACAAACAAAATTGATGTCAGAACACCAGAACTATTTACTGGAAACATTTTCTTCATAGTACAGCATTCACAGCACTGACAGGGTTGCAAAAATGCAAATCAGAACAGACTTTTTCAAAATATGACATTTGTAACATATCTCCAACTTACATATTAAGAAACTATGTCTGAAGAAGACAGTCGGTTGATACCGAATTCCCGAATAATAAAATTTTAGCATACCTTCTCCTTCATCCGCAGACCAAGCAGCACCTCCTCAATTTCAAGTTTCCAGTCCTCCTGCATCGTATGAAAGCTCTCGTGTGGTGTCTGTGTGAATGCTGAATGAACTATGGCATCGAGAGCCTGAAGGATATCTTCAAACGATGGTCGATGGTGGGGGTCTGAATACCAGCACGCTGCAACAAACAAGTCATCAGCCACGTCACATAAATGCCATCCGAGACCCGACATTCTCGTGCTGTCACGCCACGTAATCTTCTAGGTAGTTAACAGAGTCTTGGTGAAAAAAGCTGTCTCCACCTCTAGAACACAGAGGTAAGTCAGCCCTCGAAAATGTCGCCAAAGGGTCACACCCCAGAAAATTACAATCAAATATACATATATACACCAGCTTAAACAGCAATACCACTAACTTCAGTTTTAATGATCAGATGTGTTCTCCGTGACTTTCGAGAGCAATGCAATAGATCTTCATACTCCATCTTTAAAATCAGGCAATTTCTTGCTATGTGAATAATTTGTATTGACTTCAGAAGACTCGTCTAGGACTGTCATTCTTATTTTCTACACTTCCAAGTCAATGTCTTCGTAGAGAGGTGTGTAAAAACTATCATCTGGATATGTTACAGTCCACAACAAGTTGCTGACACCTGCTTAAAGCTCCGATTATAATCTAAACAGCGCAACAGAAAACAGGGTTCAGACATTATTTCTGAAGAATGTCTCGCTGTCACATGGTGAAAACCATACCTTCCATAAGGTCTCGCCATGGTTCTGGGCAAGTGCTAGGAATGGGGAGTGTCAGCTTGTTCACTGCCACACCATACGCTACAGCCAGCGCATCAATTCCCTTGTATGGCGTCTCGCCAGTCAGCAGTTCCCAGAGCAGCACACCGTAACTGCAAACACACCCAAATATGATGAGAGAAATCTGGTGGTTCACTGCTTACCTACTGACGACCTATCAACCGCGTGACATGCGATGACAGGACGACGGCCAACTAGCACAATTACCACATTTTCACCCTGAAAACCCCCATAATTTGCTTGAGTAAGATTGTATTTTCTGAATACCAATGAGTACAAGACTCAATATATTTTACACAGGAACAGAATATGATGGTTAAGGTGTTGACAGAAGCACAGACATGATCTCAAAACTTTGTATGAGTAAGTTGGGAAAATTTCTCAGTGTTCCTCAATCAATCCACGTTAATTCTAGGATACTTTTAAACTTGTCACAAACACTTTGATGCACATTCATTCGACCTCTTGTTCCACCTGACATAACAAAACCTCGTTAAATTAACCAAGGAACACAATTACAAGAACAAATTTTTTAGAATTAAAAGCCGTACTACTTGCTCAATGAAGCCCTGAGGAAAAAGGTAATAAGTTGTTCAGAACATTGATAATTATTAACATTTCAACACTGTAATGTCTAAATGTCTTTAAGTGTGAACTGTCATAAATGTTTCTTCCCAACTTCAAGCGCAATCTCACGCCCACATCATCAGACAAGACGACTTTTCACACTAACCTCCAAACATCGCTGGCTTTAGAAAATGTGGATGTTTTAATGACTTCTGGTGCCATCCAAGCATACGTCCCTGCAGCCGACATTCGTGTAGTCTTATACACCTCTCGCGCGAGCCCGAAGTCTGTAATCTTGAGCGTCTTGAATTGCAGGTCATCATTTTCAATTGGCTCACTGAGTAGCACTGTAAATACAAGAACAATAAAAATAGCAACTTCGGGGAGGAACTTATGAGTCTCCCATCTATATAAGGAGATCAATTATTGAACTGTCTATAGCTAATGAATGCAGGGGACACTCCAACACACACACGGCTACGAGGATCCCAAGGCAAAGGCGTATAAAGTGGACAGTGCACACTCATCGTCACGGTTATGACCGCAAGCACATATGAGCTACTATATTTACTAAGCTTTATTTACATGTAACACACACAAAATAAACACACCATATCTATCTAAATGTTTCATAATCAAGAAAAATCAATGGATTTCAGTAAAGTTCATTTCTAGTTTATTTAAGGACGCTCTTTCAGCAGCTCATATTATACAGCGGCTC